GATGGCGCGAAATTGAAATCGCGGAGCCTCCCAGGTCCAAACTACAAGGGGTAAAAAGAGACGACGCGGGGTGATCCGGAGTGTAACGAATGGGGGAGGGGGGAGGAGGGGAAAGAGAGGGAGGAAGAGAGATGGGGTTGGAAAACGGGTGGACATGTGCCGGCGGGAAAATTGAGCGTTTCACCTGCACAGATTCCATAATTAAAATCAGTCAGTACCCTCGCTCGTCATTGTCCACCCCATACCGGACATTCGCCCCTACCCCCGCACCCTTTTCCGTGCAGCTTCCTCCACCCCCGGGATCACTGTCACCCTCCTGTCCACATTCGACGTCTCCCGCGCATTTTTGCGCTATTTAACGAGAAAACTTTTCAAATCACATTTCGCTGTGACTCCCCGTGACCATCGACCACCGTCGCGTTTCCCAACCCTGAAAACCATCCACTCGTCCGGCATTCTGCGTGAAAAAATCCGCAGTTTTGTAAACGCCAGGAGCGAATAAATGACGATTATCACAAATAACTTGGTATTTATCATTACCTTTTGACTGTACGTTATTCTGGGTTGGTAATTGTTTGCAAAAATTCGTGAAAAAAAAGCCACCGTAGACGATATTACACTAAAATTTATGAGAATAGAGGAGCATAAAAGCATAATGTTAAAACGATGGAGAACATTCAACATTAAACATAATTTAAGAACTTTGCAATAAATTTAATAAATTTAGCGGTAATTCTAACGGACTTCTGCACACGGAAAACGCCTAATATATCTCATTATTATCTCAATCAAAACGTTTTATATATACTGTAAAGTATACGAAGAAATACTTTCTAGTACAAGCAATATGTAATACTCTCTAAGATTCCGTCCGTTTTTAGCACTTTCCGACATATGCAGGGAGAAATGATACTGGAAAAGACGTCTCGCGCATCTTTCGATCGAGTGAAAACGCGGAACTCATGATATTTAAGTGGCACCCTTAGGAGGCAGACGGAAAATCGGAGAAAGGACGCAGGACGAAGAAAACGGGCAGGAGGAGGAAGGAAGAACCAAGTTCCTTGCAGGATTGAGCTCCTCAAAGTAGCTCGACGAGTCGTTATAAATTGTCGCAGAGTCGGATCTCGATGGGGTGCCGTGTATATGGCAGGGGTATGAGTTGCGGAGTCTGGGTATAAGTTCGACAATCGGCGAGCTCCTTCCGGTGGAACAAATTAATTCCACTAAGAACAAAGACGACTCGGGATGAATTCGCCGTTTTTAGCTGGCATTTTGATAACGCTGCCGGAGTTTGATTGGTTAATTAAGAAGGCTGAAATTTTCACTCGTGAAATTTCACAGCTTCTTTCGAATTCGAATTGTTTGAGAAATATGATTTAATTAAAGTTCGATAAAATGAAAGCTCTTCAAAAAATATGTTTAACTATGATAATAGTTGTTGAGGTTGTTCAAAAAAATTAATAAAATTAAGATTATAAAATATGTGAAAAATTCTTAAATAATAAAAAATATACATATACCGATATTGTTGTTTATTGTAAAATTTATTATAAAATGTTTCTTATGAAGTATGTTTATAATGAAATTTATTATAAAGATATTTCTAAAAATAAAAAATTTTAATTAATGTAACGCTTTCTTTATCATTGTGGACTTCCGATGGAATTGTAGATTTAAAGATAAATTATTAAAAAAGAAAGAAAATACATATGTTAAACAGTATTTTACAACAATTCATATTTTTTCATCGTTGGGGTATAAAAACACCCCAAGTGACTATTCCCAGGTTAAGAAAAGACTAATATTTCCAGGAAACGAAAGAGTTATTAAAAGACAGCACAACTGTATATATACTCCGAATATTATTTTTACGTTCAGACAGAAATGAAGAAGTTCAGCGGGGAATTAAAAATCCGCCAGCATATCGAGGAAAAGTCGAATGCAATTTACCCCCACCGGGGCCGAGGAGGAGCTCCCCAGTTTCATCTTAATTCCTAGCTTTTCTTTTACTTGTCCTCACCCTTTGTCCCCATCTCTCATCTTTCGCCATTCGGAGAAATCTCTCCTTTGTCTTGTCTTTCGCGAGTCGTCAAAAATTAATTCCTAATCGAGTTAGCTCTCTTTCCTGGCGCGGAACTCGTTGAAGGAAGTTGCCCCTTTGTGCAACGCCCAACTCCATGAGTATGTTCCTCTTCTTGCTTCTCATACCCTCGCTCAGCATCCATCTAGTTTGCAGCCCTAATCGCGTCGAGATAAAAAGTTCGCGAACCACCACTACAAAAGAAATTATCGCGGTTCTGTTTGCCCGAACTTTTCCATAAAGCGTTCTATAAAGTCGCCAGATTGACGTTACGATCTTATCCCCTTCCCTTCGACATTCGGTTCCGATATCTGCGGAGATATCGATGAAGTCGTTTGTGATAGTAGCATAATTTATATTGGAGATCTTAGATCTCGGTGTGGTGGTGGAGCCGAACTCTTCTCGGATGCTTTGGAAAAGTGATATTATATCGCGCGCGCTCATAAAATGTTTGCAAAGTGATTATAAATCATAACTTAGAGTTTGCAAAGTCATGCAGGAAAGATCGAGAGGGGAAAAAAAGTAAGACGTTGGAAGAGAAGAATTAATTATATATGCCCGAGGTTTTTACGGTGCAGGAATGTCAGTCGATTTTCATCCGGCGGAAATGGCGAGGTCTCCATCTTTCACGGGAGCGTCTCGCTTCCACTCCCGACAGAGTAATACCCGTTACATCAAAGGCCGGCGAAACTTTTAAGTCACTTTTGATGTAAAGCCGACTGTGCCGGTGCGCAAACTACTTTCCGCCGCCAAGTAGTATTTTCTCCGGCACACCTTAAACAAATTTCCACCCATCAGCGAGAATCACCGACTCCACGCGCAATATATTATTACTTCACAATTTGTGGTCAGTTACGGACTTTTATTGATTGAAAAGTAGTCGTTATTATTCAGCAATCATTAAACAATGAGAGTATTAATAGCTCCTGAAAAAATTACCTATGATGTTCTTCAATATCTAATAATTTTCGAAATTCCTATTAATCTTAATAATAATTGATTTCTTAAACAATTTCGAAAGGGGCAATTGAATATCTTTTCTTAAAATTCCCTTTTACATTCAAAATGTAAATTACACTTCTTACAAAGAATAATATGAATTTGATAAAATTTTCAATTAAAATCACAATTTTCATTTTCCAATTGAACTCTATAAAATGTATAAAAGATAATGAAAGAAACTATTAATTGCTATATGAAATATGTTCTTACCAGTCTCACCAGAGTTAATTGAATTGCTGATAAAATTAATTCCCCGCGCATAGAGATAGTGTAAGATCGTGACCACAGACGTGAAAAACGTGAAGATCAATCTCCATCATCAAATTATTCCCTTTCTATCCCCAGGAGCATCGAGGGCGATATCTCACAGGCGACCTACATGACGGCGGCACGCGAGCCGTCTGTTTCAGGGTCAACGGGTTAATCCCCAAAGGTGATTGATCTGACCCGACCACGAAAGGCCGCGAAGGTGTGAAAGGTAGAAAGAGGAATAAACACACATGTGTAGGGTCAGTGCGAAACGCGGTTAGAGATACAGTGCGGAATATCCTGAAATTGACGTCGAAATATATACAACCCTTATAGAGAATTAATTATTAAATTAATTAGTGATTAATTATTTATTTTCAGTATTGGAAGTTATTAATTTATTTCATTAATATTAGGGTTGGGTAGTAACTAGTTAAAACGTTAAACGTTAAAAGTTAAAAGGAAAAGTTAAAAAGTTAATAACTTAATTAATTTTATTAACTTTTTGGAAATTAAAAATTTTTCTATCTCTCTTAATGCTAATACTTTTTTTCTATAAAGACTTAAACATTAGAGAATTAATTTTAAAAAAAGTTCAACGATTTTATGATGAGAGATTCTAATAAAGTCACACCATATGATAGCCAGTGCTGTCATTGCACCAAATGGGCCCATGAAAGCTGTACTACATATACAGGATTTGGTAGCTAATTTTGTGACGATTGCCAAGACTGATTCTAATTTGTTAAACTTCATTTGCATTGCTCGAGTGATCCATTCGCTTTGCCCAAGGGGGTCAGGCAAAGCGGATGGTTTCTCTTTTTTTATGCTTTAACTAAAACGACATAGTAATGCTCAAGTCTTTTCATTTTTTTTTTATTTTTATTTCAAAGTCCTTTAAGAGATTTGTGAGAATAAAAATGGTTTCTAATCCCAATTTTAATTGTGTGTCATTTTTTCTTCTCAACTTTAATACGTCCGTACTGCCCGGATTTCCCCTAAATGTTTATTCAATAAAAAAATAAGATTCCATAATAATATTTAAAAAAAAAAAATTAAATAAAACTAATGGTCCTTCTATCACAAATGTATAGATATATGTTAACATTAAAAAAAGTTATTTAGTTAGTATTTTTCACAACAACCAAATATTTATTATACTTTAGTATATTTTTTCAGTGTGCGCATTCAATTATATGTATAATCTAGAATTGTATAATCTAAAAAATTAAAGAGCTGGATATTCGTATCTCGTTATACCATACACACGTATACGACATGTTAAAATTTGATATTAATTGCAGCATTCCAGATATTTAATATCGCCGATCCGAAAAATGTTTGATATTATTAATTGCGCCCCGATTAAGTAACAGCGTATGAAACCCTAAACATTAACCCGTCTACATTCCTGTATAAAATAAATTAATCAGAGCGCCACGGAATGGAAAAAAAGAAGACGGGAAAGGCGGAGCAAAAGCTCACAATGCTAACGAGCTGGCAATTCGATCCTGCAACAGGACCCAAGGGGCTAACACGAAGTTCTCCCCCTTCCCCTGCCTTCACCCTGTTCTTTGTGCACTGGTCTTCTTTCCATCCGTGAGCTAAACCCGTCCGTTTCTGTCTTTCCTTTCGAAACGTTCCAGCATACTCCATTTAATTCACTCACCGTGAAGAGCCTTCAGGTACGCCTTGCCTGCGTTGATCAGCTGCCTCGCGCCAGGATTGAACTTATCCAAGATATTCTAAAAGAAAAAAAGTATCTTTCAGTAAACTGCATTGAACTGAGCTAAAACAATCGAAACTCGCAAGTAAAAATTTGATCTTTTATAAGTAATAAGAATCTTATCTTATTGATCTTTTATTTAAATTATTAATTTAATTATAAGAGAGAACTCCGATTCTGAAATCCTTCAGTTTTCCATTGCCTCTATCCTTCAGTTTCCACGCCTCTAGATCCTCTAGACTTTTATTTAACATCATATAAACACAAAGCATCTCAACTTTGCATTCTCATCCTCTATCGCTTTAACTTCCACTTCATGTAAATGAATCGCTTGCGAGATACTTGCTTCGATAAAGGGTTGCCTCGATAGGTTTTCGAGATGTTAATCGAGAGTTAATGGACTGTGTTAAGCTTATAATCGCCAATAGAGAACAATCGCGTACCAGAAAAATAATAATTTTATTGAAATCTTCTCCTCCTCCCTCCCAACTAAGCAATTCAGTTAAAATTAGTTCTTTCCTCGGCGCATTTCAATAAAAATTTTTGTTGTTTCAGTAAAATTTTGATTCATAGAACAAAACTTTTGTCTTAATGTTTGCGGTGCTTTTGTTCCTTCACGAAGTATTTAAGATATTATAAGATAAATGAATGAAACCGACTACGTCTTGCATTTTGAAATAATTCATCACGCGTCTTCTCTCTTGATGCTCTCGCCATTACGTTCAGCCGAGGAAGCAGCTCAGTGAGCACGCAGTGATTTTTTTATTAACGATTGATTTCTACACTTGTTAGATTCAGCGAAGAATAAAGCAAAAAATCAATTATAATATATAAAAAAATCACTGAGTGCTCACTGAGCTGCTTTGTCTGCTGAACGCAGTTAAGCTCGCTCTGCGATAGAAACGCTTTTAACGATAGGAAACATTGCGTTGTGTTAGAGAATGCATGAATTATTTGCTGATAGATGACTGAAGGTGATAATGTAAATTAATAGCGAGAGATGCAGTTAGAATTGATACGTTCGACTTTATCAACTGAAGTTGTAGTATATATAATACACTTTGTTGCGATAGTGAATGCAGAAATTGTTTAGTAGACGACCGATAGTATAAATTGGCTATCAAACTTGAATCGTTAGAGGTTTGTGAAACTTTGCTGTTGGGATGCAGAATCTAATGACTCGGAGAATCGAGAATTCAAGAATATATGGTTTCAGAATAGAAGATTATTCAAATCGTAATTAATATATATTGAATTACAATTAATACTGTTTTGCAAGAATATTAAAAAATGTTAATTACTAAAGATTTTAAATTAGCTCTTCGGAACTGATTCCAAAATTTGTAACGCTAGTAGTATTAACTGTAAGATTAATTTATGTTAATTAAAAGATACTAATTAATTTTGAAGAATCTCAGTTTGACATAACTCGTATAAAGAAGAATGAATAGTAAATATATCAATAAGAATAATTCAAATTGGCCACATAAAGAAAATCCAATTATTTTTACATTTTTGACAAAGAGATTTATAATTGAGCGAGTTCAATATACCACCACCGTCAGTTTTGGAGGGTGAAGAGGAATATAGATATATATAAAATGTAATTAGAGATATATTAAATGTCCAACAAATCTCCGATTTCTCGCACGTTCTAATCTCCAGTTCCACACGCAACTGTCCCCGAGAACGTAAATCCCAAAATCTCGGTTAAGTCAACTCGGAGTTAAGATCAATGTTTTCCCAAAACGCGCAAGAACGCCGGAGGGACCGGTCCGTCGATCTCCCTCCCCCCCCCCTCGGGGTGGTTTCCGTGCCGGGCGTCGTTCCGGAAGCGGGATCTGGTTTGGGGTTTCCTTTCCTTTCGGCAGCCGCGTCGCCGCCGTCGAAGTTAAGGTGGCACTCACGAGGCGTAACTCCGCTGATGCGGTTACGATGTATCGATCCCAAGTAAGAGCGTGACGGCTAAATTAAACTCGGCTCACCCCCGACCTTCACGTTGCCCCCCGGCTCTCGGCGGCGGGGCATCGCAGGGGGTGAGAGGTGGAGAACCGTCGCGTCAGGTGCGTCGGAAGGTAACGACGCCCTGATCGTGGATTCGATAGCGCGCCAATTATCTCGTGCATTTCCCGCCGCTCGAAAATCCGCAAATTGTTGCTCGAGAGCAACGGTATTCTTCGAACTGCGGCTTTATTAACGGTTTCGCGAAAACAATTTGCTGAATCACGAATGCGAGATCAACATCCTTCGATTCATATCCAACCGCGCCCAGTTTAATTACATATAGGTACACATATAGGTACTCCCCAACCATTATTCAAATACTTAGATAATACACGGAAAAAAGAATCTGGTGTAACAGCTACACGAAATGTTGAGTGAAATCATTTCAATCAAACGTTCGGTTAATATAACCAAGTTAATTGAACTTTTCTAAATATTTACTTAGTATAAGTATACCAAATATAATAATGTAATTAATGTTTGAAAATAATTAATATTCAGAAAGCTAAAATTACTTTTTACAAAGGTTATATTAACCGAACGTTTGATTGAAATGATTTCACTCGACATTTAATAGCTGCACTGAGAAAAATAGATTTGGTACAAATAACTATCATGTTATGTGAATTAACAAAAAAACTTTCCCATTTTTTTAAATTAAATTAGAATAATCAAATTTTGATTAAAACAACACAATTTTTACATTAATTAAATAATTAAAACATTTTTATTTTTTGATTAAAAAATTGTATTCCAAAATTTGGTTGTGGAATAATTAAATTTTGATTGAAACAATTTTTTAATTAAAAGATATGAAAATGTTTATGATTTACATACAATAATAGCTATTTCTAGTATTAACTTTCTATCTCGAAGCTGCAATGCAAATCAACATGAATAGTAGAAAAGTCAAATAAACCAGCAACTTAATTGATCTATGTACATTAAAACTGGTTTATTAAAACAACCATAAGAGATAAATTAATTATGGTTATTTATATCAAACATTTCTGTCAATGCATTATCAGTCTTTCTTCCAGTAACATATAATCATTTTATAATAGTAGTCCAACATAAAATTATGCTCAAATCTATATTTAGCCAAATTCTTAGATACTTCAGGATAAAACCTGTCTTTCTGTGTAATAATGCACAAATAATAATAACGTTACTTAAAGGTTTAACGATGATGGAATTATACTTAATACAGGCTGAATGTCATAGCTTTGAAAAGGCTTCTGACATTTCCGCAGCTGGACAATACCGGCCATTTTCTTACGTAACTACACAACGGATCAACGTCGGGAGGCCGTTTGCGGGGCAAAATCGCCGTGAAAGAATGTTTACGCGGGGTGAACGAACGATAGGAAATCAGCTGCTCCTCCCTGGATGTGTCGTAAGATGAATATCAGAGCTGTGTGCGCGCATGGAGAGCGTAGGCACGTACTTATGGAGATTGGTAAGGCCCATTAAGACTCGTGCCGCGACTCGACGATGTGTTACGTAACGCGGATAAACGCTGGAATCCGCCGTAATTTTCCTCTCGGTATTCTTTTCCAAATTCTAACACGTTGTGAGGGCACACAGGAATTCTTACGTCAAAGGTAAAAATAATGATTTATGCACAAATGCGAACAAATTGTGGACAATCGAATCCTGTATACAATTTTAAAAAATATACACACATTGGAATGCTCATATTAAAATTATTTTTTTATTCATAAATTTTCTCGCAGGGCGGACAAAAAATTATTATTTATAGATAAACGTGGACAAATTGTGTGCGATCGATGCGATATCCACAGTGAGTGCAAAAGTATTCGCGTACAGAGAAAATATTTTTTTTAAAAACTTTATTTAAAAGAAATAAATATTATCCAGCGAGAAAAGTGAGTCATCGAATCGATATCGATACGATGATTTCAACACCAATTTGATGTCGATTCGACGTTTACTCGACGATCATTTCTCGCTCGGTAATTAGCAATTTTATTCATAAAGAATAAAATAAACTGTATGTTTTTGAAAATTATGTATACCAAAAAAATATGTATTAATTAGAAACAATATGTATCATCTGAAAAATAAGCGAGAATGAAAAATTGAATTGTTCAGATGCCCAAAAAATATTCGTACAGTCGAGAAATTGAGTTTCTAAAACCAAGAATAGAACAGAACGTGTTAATTGTATAAACTTGCTAATTAATGTTTATTTTCTACAAATAAGATACTTTTTTTTATCAAAAATTTCCTTGTACAAATACTTTTTGCACTCACTGTAGATTTTGTTAAAATCCGCCATTTAGAGTGCGAACTTTACAGATCTTATTGTCAACCACCGTGTTGACTTTTCTTTTCTCGTAAAAGACCTTTCACCTTTATTTTTTGTCACTTCATTAAATTGTTCGTCCTATTATTATTACCGGTTCACTGGTTATTTGCGCGTGTCGTACGCGCTATTTACTTTATTTTTCACCGTTCATTCGCCGTTCACGTCGGCCGCGCTTTTACGTCATTTATTCCGCTTCCAATATTTATGGCAATCGCCATTCATTATTTTAGCACGAAAATTCCCGGTCTAACGCGGCTTATGACTCCAAGTGTGCCGCCATAAATCGCGACGGCTCGATCTGCTTTTTCGGGATTTACGGCAAAGTAAAAAGTGTCGTCGACGGGGACCGAAAGTCCGAGCCCCGTGATCGATAAGGCCGCGGTAAATTTAGTCGGCCGATTCCGTTACAGTCCGCATAACTGGGCACTGCGAGCGAAATGGACGCGGTCCCCCTCTAACATCTTTTATTGGCAGACAGCCACACTCCGAAGAGAACAGGAAAGAGAAAAAGAGAGGAGACGCAGGGAAGCCGGAGATGAAGTCCAAGCCGATGAATGTCGACTAACGGGATAGCCTTGCATGAATTTCGCGTGTGTGTGGGGCCGCGCTCAAACATCCGCGTGCGGTGCGGATTCTCCGTCTTGCTCGATGGCCACTCCTACTTGTTCAACAAAAACCTATTT